CACCTCCACCATGTCCCTCCGTTGAGTTACCAAGGGCCACCACTCCCCGTGTCATCTAGATCCACAACCCCAATTTTCTCCGTGTCATCTAGACGAATAGACTTGAAGAACAACCAAGAACTTACGTATAGGGAACTTGCGCACCAAAAAAGAAGGGCAGTTGCTACTACGGGATCTAGGGACAGAGGCGTCGGAGAAGGGGCCGGAGACCAAGCTAGCTGCGAACCCAACTATGGAGCCATGGATCTCAGCACCATAGGATTTGGGACATGATGTCAATAGGGTCGGTGCCCGCTATGAAGTCTTCCTCGCAAGATTTGGAGGTTAGAGTAGCCACCATAGCGGTCGGTGCATCAATCTGGCTCCTTGCAACCCAAGTATTTGGGGACGGTGACAACGGTGAGCAAGAGGAGAGAAGTGTGAAGGGGCATCGACATTGAGCTTGCCGACAACAACGTAGGGAAGAGGACAAAAGCAAGGAGGAAATTGGTGAAGTGAGCAGAGGAGGCTGGGCGCGACTATGGAGAGTATCAATGCGACGAGAGAGAGGTGGATGAGGAGAGGGAGAGAGTGAGTGGTGTGTATTTTGTTTATAGGGTTTCACTGTAAGTGGGCGACACCTATATTTCTAGAGTAGGGTAGTATAAATGCTTGTTTTTGAAAATGGCCTATTTTATCTGAAAATAGATTTTTGGAGGCGATCTTTATTGGATTGTCCTCATAAATAGGCTAACCATATCCAAAATTTCACCATACATTTTTGAGACAGACACTTTAGGACAACATCTCCAAATAAAGGGGTTGTCTCCTAAAATTGTACTTGTAGTAGTGAAAGAGCACACACGACACATAAAGAGGTGATGACCTTATTATTGTACATTATTGTTGTTCTTGTGGAAAGTTATGTTAAGAAACTATTGGCCGATTAAGTAAGCAAATAGGAGGGGATACTATACCACAACCCAAAAATAATGATTTTGCTTGTTAGGAGTGGCACCATCATGCCGCTCCAGGTCAGGGTCGGGGGCTGCCATCAGACGAAAGCCCTGAGCAGTAGTGCAGAGGGTTGCTACCACTGTTGACGGTAGTTAACAAACATTATAAACCATCAATATAACATGCATAAGGGCATAAATATAATCACCAACGAAGGTCTAGGGGTTTAAACTAATAAATTCCATGAGTTTTAGTAAATCTATATTTTTTGTAGGGTTTATCTAGAAAACCATCAAGGTGGACCTACATGTCAGATTTAATCATGCTTATCGACAACGAAAATGACCCTAGAAGGTTCCAGAAGAGTCAAGAGGACTCCACACCGAAGCGGAGAGCGAGACGCCGGTCCCACCTATAGGCCGCCCAGCCCCCTAGGGCCCATATGTCATCCCCTATTGTTATGTCTGTTCTTCACCGCCTCCTAGGTTGCATCTACGTCGTCCTTTAAGTCGGTTTGATCTAAGGGCTCACGATTGATGCTCCGGCCTATATATACCAGCCCCTGCCACTCCCCTGAGGCATTGATAAGTCATTTGAGAAGACAGAAATCCTAATCATCCTTAGAGCTCCACCATATTCTAGGGCATAGCTAGTTAGGCTAGGTCTAAAGGGAGGCAAGCAGGCTTCGCTTGGATTTCTGATCTTGTCAAGAGCGTGGTTTGGTATAATCTTTGTACCCCCTCTCTTTTATATCTATCATTACTTTTATATGCTTGCTACAATTGGTATGATAACATTGGTATTCACAATATTCATGTTGTTAGTTATAATGTTCATCGTCTACTTTGATTATATACTTAGTATAGCTAGTTTATCATTATGTTTATGCATAAGTTCGTATAGCGCTCGCTCTGGTGTATACGAGGTGAGTGGTCGACATTGTGTAAGCATGGTGCTTATACGTTGTTTACCTGCGGATACACCCTATATTCTGGGTCATATGGTAGATCACGGATGTGACACTCCCATTGAGTCCTTTGTAGTCCACTCCTCGAATATAGGTGCAAGTAGGGTCCGGTTACGAAGGAAGAACAAGCTCTGTTCTTAATCTTCCTTAGTAATATCTCTTATGTGTAGATATAAAGATGACCTTAGCCATAACTACTAGGTGTAATTGCACTAATCAATGTATGCTTTGACTTGTAATTAAGAATGACTTAGGAGTTATTTCTCTAATATTCTACTTAACCATGCTAATGCCATAGAAAGGAGTACTCTGAGTGATTTATCATTAATCCATACTTAACATATACATAATTTATCCTATGACTTACCCCTATTATGAGTAAAATATTGGTTATGGTTTACTTCTCCATCAATAGCATAAGTTATCAATACATGTCCGTGCAAGACCTTTCCTGTGGTAAAAATATAAATAACGATACCGGAAATACTCTGGGGTAAAGTGCTACAATGGTATATTATCTACGCGCTTAAGATTTCTTTCATTTATATATATTCTTTCTAGTCACATGATATATTAAAGTACTTCTTAGTGTCATTCTAGAAGTGGCACTAGGTTTTACCAACAAGGATTTCTGGCACCAACGCTAGGGATGACAACCTAGTAAAAGATGTCAAGGAATGCAAACAACATAGGGTGACTACTTAAAACAAGTGATACGTTAATAAATACCAACAACCACCCTTTACCCTCCTAATTCTTTGGTGTGAGCATCTTGCTTTGGCATCACACGGTGGAGATGGGGAGATATCCACTTTGGATAGATGGCAACAAGCAATGACGCTCGGGTGGACAATAGTGGTGAGGAGGGCTGAGGCCACGCTTGTCGACTGCATGGGACCCAAGTACCCTCATTGAGGCCATAACCGGTTCCGCAAGAAAGGGTGGGCCAAGCCAACTAGCCTAGGATGAATCCAACCTAGGGTACCTTATATTATCTACATGGTAGACAAAGGCATATGCAAGATATGCAAAGAAACTGATTCCATCTATTATAATCAGCTAGGAAACCAACCTATAAATCAATCAGGCTGGGACTCTATTTGTAACACTACCCCTATATAAGGAAGGGTAGAGCCCCTGATCGACAACCCAATAGAAGATACTTTGTGATCCTTTGCTCGCAATTGACCTGAGCATACGACACACGAGCAATACAAACATCCAAAAGATGTATACACTAGATGTAGGACACCACATGCCTAAACCAATATAAATCCAGGTCCCGTGTGCTTCCCCTTTGATCTATTGTGTGTGATACATCGAATTACTCACTAGTGGTAAAAGACACTATTGGTTGGTGCACTTGGTAGGGTTTTTTCATGCACAAATCAATCTGAATGGATCAAATGGGTTTCTTCAATGATGGCGCAATCGATGGTTTTGCACCTGGTCAGACAATCAGCTTCTGCTCCTAGGATTTCATCATTGATTTAGCAAGGTACTAGGCCCTTGTACTTTCCTTCACCAGGGAATAGGATTTTCACCTTAGGGCCTTGGACATCACCATTGACTCAAATCACGTGGCATCCATCAACACCAACAATGCACAACATTGAGTGAGTGAGTTAGGGTTAGGGTAGTTTTAATGTACCAACAACGCACAGTGTTTGGGGAGGTTGCACCCTAGGCCACCCGTGCTGCCACACCCCAGTGCATCCGTGCCGCAGGCCCTCGCACTGCTTGCGCCTACCAAGCCTCTCCTCAGGGCACCATTATTCGACCATGCTAGGGAGCTCGCTGAGCTACATCGTGCTAGTTCTAGGTGATGGGAAGAGAGAGAGAGAGAGGGAGAAAGAGAGAGGCATTGAGTAAGTTAGGGTTGGGTAGTTTTTAATGGGTCGTGGGATTTTTCTAGAGGCAGACCTCCTAACAATCTTGTCTTTGTAAATGCCTCTATTTACAGAGGGGTCATGTTAAAGGCCCGTCTCTATAAATAAATTTATAGAGATGGTGCACATTAGGTTGTCTTCATAAATGCTCCTATTGCCTATGAAATTCACTAGCTATTTTAGGAAACCCATACATTTTTAGACCGACTTTTTAAATAAAAGGGTTTTCTATGAAAGTCATTTTGTAGTAGTAGCCTAGTAGGTGATGCCAACTTTCAATGGATCACAATAACTTATGCAAGAACTTTCAAACAGCCCAATAAATAGACTACACTTACAAGAACATAACTTTATTATATAACTTCATTACAACACAATTGTATTGCACAAGACCATACACACTCTTCCTTTAGTGTCCATACTAGCACCCACTCCTTCCAGGACTCATGCTATCCCTAAAACGCCATGGTAATCTTGACATGCCTCATAGTGGGCAAAGAGCTGTCTCACTGAGTCACTAGGTCATGGGTTCGAAGTAGCCTCTCTATAGATATGCGGGGAAGGCTTGCCTCGTTTTTTTTCCTTCCCAGACTCTACTCATGTGGGAGCCTCCGACACTGGGTCTGCCCTTATCTGATTTACATGCTCTGATTTCTAAATTGGTCTCAACTAACAAGGAGTGAGATAAGTTAGGCACGGCACATGGATTTTCATGGAGCAAAGCTTCAAAGTATCAACATCCTTGCATAGTCCTCAAGGACAAGAAGCCTCTGTTCCTTATTGTATGAGTACATGACACTGATCATTCTCGCGGTGTTCAAGCAGACCAGTGTGAAGTTAGAGGAGAAGGTTCTCGTGCATAAACACTCCCTATTGAGCTCCTCCCACTCCCTTGCGATCAAGCTATGCATATGTGCTTCCGCATCACTAGGGCTGCATCCAGGGTTCTCCATGAGGTAGAAATCCCTATACGATCCATCAAATCCTTCTTGAGCTTCATCCTGCAAATTCCATGAACAAAAGTGCTAAAGATTTGCTGCTAAATTAATATTATAGGCAGATTAGATTTGAAACTTGATGTGCAAAAGGTGAAAACAATTAACAAGTATTTGTTCTAACCTCTGCACTGCCCATGTCATCCCAAAGCCGAAGAATCTTGGCTGGGCAAGAGATGACAGAGGGCATGTTGTCAATGAGTGCTTCAGTACTTTGATCACACCCAAGCATCATGAATATGTGTACAATTGTAAGCGGCACTCCTGATGTGACTACACCATTTCTCAGGTAGTCCTCTGCGGTAGGAACCTGATCGGTTGCTAGCCATTTTGCCTCAACCATGAATCCATCAAACAACACTGCCCACTGTAGAAAAATGTGCAATTTCTAGTGTTAGCAGTTGTTCATTGTGGTTTCATTTAACAATAAATTTTATTATGAATCATTTTAACAAGTTTTAAATCAGTAAATTAAATTATAGACTTTAGCTATAGGACACGGGACACCGTAGCTAGATGGAGCTACATTTTTTATTTATTACTATTTATGCAGATAAAATTGAAGAAGTATATATAAGATAAAACTATTTGGTAACATACCGCTTTCCTGAGATGATTAACAGGGTTCAGTCCATGCTCCTTTGCAGCCATATCTGCGATCTCATTTGTAATGGTGTAAAGAGCCCTGTAGCATGATCTCATGTAACTGGGGAGTGAATCAGCAACCGCCGTATTCCACCTGCCAATTGCATATTTAAAAATCAACATTATGTAAATTAACTATATTAATTTTAATATGACAAAAATATTATTGCATATCATATACTCTATGCAAGCTTACACTTTGACCGCCTCCGTGAAGAGGGAGAGCTCCTCTGGTGTGCCAACAAGGTCAAATATGTCATCCACAACATAGACTAGCGCGATTATTTTTGTGATCTCAACCCGGTATCTGGAGAAGGAACATCCTTGGAGGGCTGTCATGGACCACATGTACCATTTCAGCACCTGGTCCCGCACCACAGGTATTTCTTTAACCAATCCTAGGTCCATCCACCATCTGCATCACAATCACATTATGGCCTTGTTTAGTTTCTCCCCCTAAAGTTTACTCCTTATCCCATCGAATGTTTGAACACATGCATGGAGTATTAAATATAGACTAAAAAATAACTAATTGCACAGTTTGCGACTAATTTACGAGCGAATCTTTTAATCCTAATTAGTCCATGATTTGACAATGCGGTGTTATAGTAACACATGTGCTAATGACGGATTATTAGGCTTAATAAATTCATCTCGCGGATTACTGACGGATTCTATAATTTATTTATTTTATTAGTATCCAAACACCCCATGCGACACCCAATATGACACCCGATGTGACACCCCAAAATTTTACACCCTAGATTTAAACAAGCCCTATATCAAATAAGACATCATTATTATTCATAAATTACCACTCACTCTATGCAAAAAAAGGTGGAATAATATAATTTTCTAAACACTTTTACATAGTTACTGAAGTCAACGACTGGTCTAGCACAAGATCAGCACTCATTTACATACCTGTTAACCTCTTGAATTTCTTGCTGATGCAGTAATTTGTTGAGCTGAAACTCTGCAACTGCTAGTTTCTCCACTACAATGTCTCTGATGGGCAGGCTCTGTAGGTAGGTGAGGTGATGCCTAGCTTTGTACTGCATTAGGCTTAGGTGGTAGGGGTGGTCCAGGGACTGTCTCACATACTCTGCAAGGCTTGGTTCCAAGTACCTAATGGCAGATGCAAGGTGCTTGCTTGAGAACTCTTTTGCCTTGTAGAGCAACACCTCTCCTCCAATGTCCAGGTGAGACATATCATGCAGGCTCAAGAGCCCTCTGACGTCCTTGCTAAGAGGAAGCTTGAATTCACCGCTGTCATCAGTGAACCTCCGTAAGACATCATCTGCTGTGCAACCATGTTTGTAGATACCGTTTATAATTTGACATGAATATATCCTTTCTTTCTTTTTTGGAATGATGAGTACATTCTCTAGAATTTTTTTTAGTGTGTGTGTGTGTGTGTGTGTGTGTGTGTGAGAGAGAGAGAGAGAGAGAGAGAGAGAGAGAGAGGAATTATTGTTTGCTTGTGTTTACTAACTTGCTGAAACATCATGGCCTCCCTCTCTCAGGAGCCTGAATGCAAGCGTTGCATCGAAGAGATCATCGCTGTGGATGAGATCCATGCAAGTACTCATGGCGCTCTCGATCTCTTCCTCAAAGTAGTGGTCGATGCAGAGGCGCTTGAGGTTATCGATGGTGACCATCATCTCCCGGGCATTCTTCTGACGTTGATGGAGAATCTTTTGGACGTCTGTCAGGCCCTCCTACAGGTGCATGTTTCATGTTAAGAGAAATATATTTCCGAACATTAAACTTTGGACGTGCTACAATTTAAGTCATTACCACTGTGAAGAAAATCGAAGTAGAGGTACCTGGAGGTCAAAGTCGTTTCGGAGCAGCAGCGTGTTGGCCACCGCCGCCGCTGCCGAAAGGCGGCCGACGGAATCGCCACTGTGGCGGCCTTGCCGGCTGTTGTTTCCCGCTGCCGCCGGCGAAGTTGCAAGGAGAAGAGGCTCCACGGAGGAGGAGGAGGAGAAGATGCGTGCAGGTGCAGCAGACATATTGCTCCTGGTAGAGAGAGAGAGAGAGCAGCAGCAGCAACTAAACACCAAGCTTAATCAGAAAACGAAGCAAGCTAGCTAGCTGGTAATAATGTGGGAGTGCTGTGTGCAGTGTGGTTGCTGCCTGATGCCTGCTTGTGAGTGATATGATGCATAGAGGTGTGCACAGGCCCTCCAATTTATAGGTCGAGAGCGTAGTATACATGTATGCAGCGGCAGATTCGAGCCCCCTACCGATACCGGAGCCCTGGAGCCCCTCTGGAGCGCTCCCTTAATTTTTAGACAAAGTTCTATTATGTAAGTGGGGCTGAGATTTAAGATCGAGCAGCAGTCGGAGATATGTTGCTGTCGGACTTTTGTTCAGCCTCCTAAATTTTTTTCTGGATCCGCCGCTGCATGTATGTAGAACATGTGTCTCACAATAGGAGTAGATATTATGTGAGCCAGATCGAGCTGTGGTGTTTTCTGTGGTGTGGTGTTGCATGCAGCTTCTGAAGCCACCATCAAGCTGCAGACAACAAAATCCTGTCGCTACTCGCTAGCTCTTCTTTTTCAGTCTCTATTCCTGTGTGGGCGCAACCTGCAACTCTGCTGCTGCTAGCTCCAATTTGTGCCGTACTAGTGCAACTTCAAAGCAGAGAGCGTATGTACAGTTTGTACGTGTATATATAGAATCATGCATGGTAATTTCATTTCAGCTCATCAGCTGGTAAGTACGTCCACTACTAGAGAACCTACTTTAGAACGATATTTTAATTTGGTATTAGCCTCGTATTTTTTTTTTGTCTGCAGGACTAAAGGTTCCTGCCCAACGGTCATCCGCAGGCAGGGATCTCTAGTCCTGTCTGGTATTACCAACCGGGACTAAAAGTTGTAGTCTCGATTTGGGTTATGCCCCGGGAATAAAGATTAATCTTTAGTCCCGGTTTGACCCTCTAACCGGTACTAATTATCCCGGCCTATAGACCAGCTCATTTTTTCCTCCCCGAGCCCGAGCCATTCCATTCAAACTCGCTGCCTCTGTTCTTCAGCTTGCTGTTGTTCTTGCTCTCTCCCCCTCCATTGGTGTTGCTCTTCGATTTTGGGGTAACAAACTTAATCCTCTTATGTTTTATCAGTAGCTTATCTCATTTTGCGATGTAGATGCATGTGTAACTTTATATGTTGGACTTTATTATGATTTTATATCATTTTTAGCTCAAAATCACATGATGATTTGTATATATGTTTAGATAAACAAAAGTTAAATTAGTTCATCAAAATCACTTGATAGTTTAGTATTCCTAGTATATGTAGTACATTTCATGGTTTAGTTATTTTTATTTTTTTAATATATTACTTTAGAAATGAGAAATTTATAATAGTTTGCAAAAATAAGTATAGAAAGTAACTTGATATGGTGGATTTGATTATGATTTCTATGTCATTTTTAGCTCAAAATCACATGATGATTTACAATAGTAAAATCACTTGATAGTTTGGTATTTTACTATTATATATAGTACATATTTTATGGTTTAGTTAGATAAATAAATAATTTTAGTTTTGTTTAAATATATTATTTTAGAAAATGTGAAATTTACACTAGTTTGCAAAAATAAGTATAGAAAGTAGATGACAAGCGGTACGGATCCTCGGCCTCTCGTTAGGTTCTTGAACGATCGAGGCGAACTCCCTCTCATTATCTCTGTGGCAAGTGTAAGCGGAAGATTGTGATGGAGTACCGAGTCAAGAGACGAGGATCCAACAAGGGTCGTGTTTTCTACAAGTGCCCGGATCGCGATGTGAGTTTCTTATGCATTTGATTATTATGGCTAATTGACTGCTTTTTTGAATATTTTTGATTAAATATTTTTGGCTTTAATTTCAAAGTGGGAGGGCAATGGATGCGATGGTTGGTCTTGGGAGGAAGATTATGCTATATACGTGCGAGAATTGGGTGCGCTTGAGGTAGCGGCGGTGATGATGAGGAAGCGATGAGCCAATGAGGAGAAGCTTATTGATATTCAAATGACGAATGATTTGTATGCATTTTAGTTTGCATCTGATCACGAAATAATTATATTCTTGAAGTGCATTGTAGTTTTAGTTTGTTTAGTGATAGTTGGGATTGCTTACGTTGTAGCCAGGCTTAGTTAATTAATCAACCGTGTGTGTGTCATCTATGTTGTGTAATAAAATACTTAATTATGTTCAAGGTTTTTATAATTTATCGTGTAATGCAGATTATGTCACACCATTGGATGTACAATACTGATCGTCGCTCCCAAGACTTTATTGAGGGCGTGCACTATTTCTTAGGTGTTGCCGAGGCAAATAAGCGGGATGGTTTCATGTGCTGTCCATGTGCCCTATGTAAGAATTTAAAGGAATATTCAAGCTCAATGAATCTTCATTCACATTTGCTTAAGTCAGGTTTCATGTCAAACTATATATATTGGACTAAGCATGGAGAAAGCGGGGTCATAATGGAAGAAGGTGAAGGAGAAGATTTAGACATTGATGACATTATTGCTCAGTATGGTGCCTTTGATGATACTACAATGGGGGGAGATGAAGAAGAGGTAGCGACAGAAGATGATCTCGGTGATGCTCTTGGCGATGCCATTTGTGATGCACAACAAGAATGCGAAAGTGAAAAAGAGAAAGTTAAGTTCGAGCGCATGCTTGAGGATCATAGGAAGTTGCTATACCCGGACTACGAAGAGGGGCAAAAAAGCTGGGTACAACAACGTAATTGCTATAGTGGAAGGCAAAGAATGGTGTATCCGACAAGGCATTTGGGAATTTATTGAACCTCATAAAGAAGATGCTTCTGAAGCCAAATGAATTGCCCACCACTACGTACGAAGCAAAAAAGGTTGTCTGCCCTTTGGGATTAAAAATCCAGAAGATACATGCATATCCTAATGACTGCATCCTCTACCATGGCAATGAATACGAGAATTTGGATGAATGCTCGGTATGTAAAGCATCGCGGTATAAGATCAGGCGCGATGATCCTAGTGACGTCGAGGGTGAACAACGTCCTAGAAAGAAAATCCCTGCCAAGGTTATGTGGTATGCTCCTATAATACCACGCTTAAAACATTTGTTCAGAAATAAAGACCATGCAAAGTTGTTGCGGTGGCATAAAGAAGACCGTAAGGTAGACAATATGCTGAGACACCAAGCTGATGGGTCCCAGTGGAGAGTGATAGACAGGGAATTTTCAGAGTTTGCAAATGAGGCTAGAAACTTAAGGTTTGCCTTAAGTACAGATGGTATGAATCCTTTTGGGGAACAGAGAGAAGGATGAATTGACATATGCCCTAGAGAATCCCGAACACGGTGGTCGAACAAGAGGCTATGGGGCGGTTCCGTGGCTACAAGCATTCCTAGCAGACAAGGATACCTACAGAAGCCACCAGAGAAAGAAGGATGAGGAGGCAGACCGAATCCGTGTATTGGAGCAATTTATTAATGAGTCACGACAAACATTGCTTGAATCACGTGAACGAGAAAAATCTCTTTAGGCAAGAATGCAGGAGAAGATCAAGAGGCAAGTGCAGCTAGCAATGAGTCAAATGCAATCGCAATCAACGCCGGGAGTCACCATTAGCCCCGTTGGTCAGATGAAAAGCAGTTGTGCTTCCACGGAGCTGCCAGTTATTCAAGATGACGCTGGGTTGCGCTTCCCTATTGATGACATTATCGAGCCTCTAACAACATGTGAGCTGCACATTCCAGATGGTAATAATGCATCAATCATGGTGGCTGTCGGGGTTGTATCTCCAATAGATCGAATGAAGACACCAAGAATCCATGGGTCAATTATTCAACCTGGATATGCTAGCGTCTCGATCGATAGAGTGCTCAAAGGTTATATCAATGTTCCTCTTGACATTGAAGGCAGTGATGGGGAGAAGACACTAGGAGAAGCAGAGAAGACATTTATTCAATGGCGCAAACGCTTCATCATCATTCCTGGGGTGCCACCGCTTCCCCTACCTCACCCTAGGTACGAATGAAAATGAATGAAATATTATTTTCCATTAATTTTCTATTGGCTTAAAAAATAATTGACTCACAACTTGTTTTTGTAGCAGGGTCTTCCCCTAGCCTAGCCCAATCATTCATTCCCCATCTCATCACAGCGTCGCGGGGGGCGAGACGACTTCATCCCCACGGTGATCTCCAACTCCTACACCGGCCCCACCGCCTCCACAACGATCTCCAACGCCTCCACGCCGGTCTCCAACACCGCCTCATCGCCTCCACGCCGGTCTCCAACACCGCCCCACCTCCTCCAATGACGCACTCTGAGAGGCGTCTAAGGTCCCGGCGGCAAAGAAGACCCCGAAAAAAAGAGTTGTTTCTCAAGAAATACTTCCTGAAAAGACTGATGAGCAAATAGCAGCTGAAGAAGACAAAAAAGTGAAAGATTTTTTTATAGATATAAAAAAGCAGAGACAAGCGAAGCTTAAGGAAAAGCCATACTTTTACATACCACGAGATCTGCTGAGGCAGAAGGTCGAAGCTCACAAGAAAAAGATGCTTGAACTTCGTAAGCCTCCGCCACTATCAGACTATGACCGCTCCCTCGTGAAGTCATATGATGCAGATAAAAAAGGAAAAGAGCATCAGGGAAGGATGTCCCACAGCTCGGACAACAGAAGCAACCAATGCAAAATCTTGTTATTGCTAATGAATATGGTTCCAACATAGAAATCTATCGACCAGACAACTCTGGAGAAGTGTCGGTTCAAGACCTTAATGCTTTTTTTGAAGATACTGGTTTAATCTTGGATCAATTGATGGGCAAAGCTCCAATCCAGAACTTGGAAGTTGATACCTGGAAGACTTATAAATTTGGCAAAAGTCTGTACAACCCTGCGGCTCTGAATGAATTGGGTACGCAAATGTACTTGCGCAACAAGTGGTACATGCAGGCGTGTGGCAGGGGTGAGGAGTGGATCTTTGTCAGATTTAGAGACCATCATTACTTCCGTGGCGATGAC